AGAGCCAGGGCCAGCCGGTGCCCACCGCCCCCGCGCGGAGCCGCAGGTGAGTGGGGGGCCCGGCGCGGGGGGGGCTGTAGGGGCGGGCCCTCAGGACCCAGGTTGGCGAGGAGCGGGATTGGAAGGGCGAGGAAGAATGATCAGCGGGGATCGAGTCTTCCAGGGATGGGTGCCCTCCGAAGAGGTGGGCTTAGGGGACACTGGCCTAGTTCTTTTGTGTGCCCGCCGTAGAGACAGGCTGCAGCCATCGGTAGCCAGTGCCCCTTGCCTGAACGCACCCCTCGCCCTTCTCCTTGTCACCTGCTCAGCCCCTCTCTCCGCCCCTCAGGTTCTGGGTGATGCTTCATTCAGTCTTTGGGGTGGGGGCGGGGCTGGCAGTAGGGCCGAGCTTTGGGACTGTTTCCCAAAGTGTGGTTCTCCGCTGCACCCTCCTGCGAGTCCCCTGGCAGACTGTCCTAAAGCCACCCCAGATCTCAGTCGGAATCTCAGGCCATGGCGTGGAGCCTGGGGATTTGCCCTGTGGGTAGGTGGTCTCTGCCCAGTCCTGCCCTCTGGTGATTCTCATGCACTCAGAAATTGAAGAGCTGCCATAGTGCGCCCTCTGGGCCGGGTCTGCCCTCTAAGCTACCAGGGCCAGCCCATTTCCTTTTCTGAGCAGTTGGTGACACCCCAAAAGCTCCTGCTGGCTCCTGGCACAGCCGTGTCCCTCTGGGTTTTAGTATTTAGCCAAACACGCATGCTTCTTTTGCACAACAGATGGATTCCTATGAAAGGTGTAATATCAATTTTACCTCATTATTAAGTAATTTTTACACGTCAAGGAAAATTCACCACTTTTAGGAATCTCACGAATTATTTTGCAAAGTGAATCGTCATTTTACACAGCAAATAGTAATTCCCTGATTTGTCTTGTATACATAAGGCATTTCACATGGATAATTTGCTTAAAACAAATCACACCTTTAATGAAAGCTGCTTGTCTACCTTTAGAATGGATTTCTGAATTGGGAGGGGGCAGTGGTTGAGATCACCACACGGGGGCAGTATGGAGCCGTCCTCTAGCTGCGTTTTAATCTCTTGACCCGCTAAGGTTTTTCCGGGGTACTTTGGGGAGTCAAAAGCAGCTAGTGGGTCAAGAAGAGCCCAAATCCCAACTGCTACTTCCCAAGGTCCGGCCAGTCTGTCCCCAGCCTGAAGTCACCCACACAGGAAAACACACCCATGCACTTTCTCTTTGGGTCCCTATGGGGTGTGTCCCTTGCCCTGTTGGCAGGTGGTCCAAGGGCATAGGCACCCCCCCCCGTTCCCCCCCTCCCCACCCATCGGCGCTCCCTTCCAATCCCCGGGTAGCAGGGATACAAGTCTCACCAGCTTCACACCATCACCTTCTGCTCCAGGGATGGGGGGGGAGTCTGCTCTCTCTCTCCCTCTGAACTTAGAGGTAACCCCTGCTTCACAGAAGAGAAAGGTCCTCAGAACCTTTCTTTCCTCTCCTCCATCCTCCCTCATCCCCAGCTTTCCTCAAACACTTCTGCAGCTCCCATCTTTTGGCAGCACCTCCCCTACCTCTCAGTCCTCCTAAGACTAAATTTTTTGGCCCTGAAGATGTGGTAAGGTGGAAGAGGGCTCCTAGGCCAGAGAATGGACGGGTCGCCCCTGCTTCCCTGGAGAGGACAGAGTGCCAGTTCCACTGTTGTAGCCCCTTGAGCAGGCAGACAAGCGGGCTGTGGGAACCCCAGCCAGGCGGGCGGAGATGTCGGGATAATTTAGCAGGTGGCCTCGTTACTCCCAGATCTGTCGCCATGGTAACCTGGTTTTTTCTTTAAAAAACGTACAGTGCCAAGAGGAGGAAGATGGCTGACAAAATCCTCCCTCAAAGGGTGAGTGCCTTTCACAGCAGCCCCCAGCCCACCCCCCACCCTTTGCTGCTCCGCCCTCCTCTCCCTGCACCCCAGTGCTGCCTCCCCTTCCCTCCTCAGAAGCAGAGCTTCAGCATCACAGTCACTTTCACTTTTTGTTTAAAAAGCTCATTAAGAAGTGAGGCTCCCCAGGCCAAAGGGAGGGGGAGGGGCAGAAGGAAGAAGCCGAGCCGTTGGGGCCAGAACACTGGGCTTGAGGTTTAGGGGGCTGAATTCCAGCAGTCCAGAGATAGAGGCATGGGACCAGGAGGGGACAAGAGCTAGGATATCAGAGGCTGCCAGGCAGAATAAAGGGAACAGAAGATGGCCAGAGGTCCCCAGCATCATAAAGAGACTGAGGCCCAGCTGGATATTGGGGTAGCATGGTTGAGACACCAAGTGTGAGAGCTGGGTGAGGTGCAAGGTAGAAGCAAGCAATGATACCTTCTACCTGTGTCAGGGACCCAAGCCCCTGAGCACTTTGAGGGGCCCGAGGGAAAACCAACAGCCATATGACATGGGAAATGACAAAATGAGGAGGCCAAAGGCTAGTGTTTGTTGGGTTCCACAGTTGCTACCTCTTCCCCTGATGATAAAATGCATGGCTCTCCCAATCCCAGCACTTTGGGAGGCCGAGTGAGTAGACTGCCTGAGCCCGCAGGTTCAAGACCAGCCAGGACAACTTGGCGAGACCTCATCTCTACAATAAATCAAAAATGAGCCGGGCGTGGTAGTGCGCACCTGTAGTTCCAGCTACTTGGAAGGCTGAGCGGAAGGATCGCTGGAGCCCAGCAGTCGAGGCTGCGGTGGCCGGGAGCAGCTACTGCACTCCAGTCTGGGCGACAGAGTGAGACTCCAACTCAAAAAAAAAAAAAAAAAATGCATGGCTCTCCCTAGAGGGGGAAGCAATTTGTATCCCTACACATGGAAGCACCTACTGCTGGATAACGAAATCCTGGGAACAAGTCCTATCCCCGCTCTCAAAGTCCCACACCTTCCCTCTACATCCTTTGTATCCTGGGATCACACGACACACATTCCATGTTACAAGATTGCCTGAGCCCCTGATTCCTGCCATGCTCCTCCTCCTCCAGATTCGGGAGCTGGTCCCCGAGTCCCAGGCCTACATGGACCTCCTAGCCTTTGAGAGGAAACTGGATCAAACCATCATGCGGAAGCGGGTGGACATCCAGGAGGCTCTGAAGAGGCCCATGAAGGTGCCTTAGTTTGGGGGTAGGAAGGGAGCTCGGAGTCCTGTGCCCAGGATGGGGAAGCAGGGTGGCTCTGGGTGGGAGCACACAGAATTCCCTCTGTACTATGCTTTTTATTTCTACAGCAAAAGCGGAAGCTGCGTCTTTATATCTCCAACACTTTTAACCCTGCGAAGCCTGATGCTGAGGATTCTGATGGCAGCATTGCCTCCTGGGAGCTGCGGGTGGAGGGGAAGCTCCTGGATGATGTACGTCCTGGCCCAGGTCTCTCCAGGTGTCCCGGGGTGGGTATGGGCCGGGTTGAGAACAGAACTAGATGCCTGCACTAAGGGTTAGGGAGTCAGCCCTGGCCAGGGTGGGTGGGCAGGCCTAGAGACACACTCTGGATGCAGAGGACTGCATCTATTTGTGCTGCCCCGCCCACTGCCAACTCGGCCTCCTTCCGCACCCGTGGTCCCTGTTCTGCCCCCACAGTCCCTGTTCCTCTTCCACAGCCCAGCAAGCAGAAGCGGAAGTTCTCGTCTTTCTTCAAGAGTTTGGTCATTGAGCTGGACAAAGATCTCTATGGTCCCGACAACCACCTCGTTGAGGTAAGACTGAGATCCCTTCTGCCCTCGAGTCACTACCCTCCCACAGGCCTGAGGCCCTGAAGAACCTGCCCAGATTTGGATCAGAGATCACCCTAGAGCTGGAGCCCTAGGCTCTACCACTCCTGACCGGCCTTTGGGTGACCCAGCTCTCCTCTCCTGGTCAGTGGCATCGGACACCCACGACCCAGGAGACAGATGGCTTCCAGGTGAAGAGGCCAGGGGACCTGAGTGTGCGCTGCACCCTGCTTCTCATGCTGGACTACCAGGTCTGCACCTTCTATGCCACCCTGCACATGTCACACCCTCGGGGCAGGTCTAGTTCCCAAAGTGGTGCATCCTGAGAGCCCCTTCTCCTTGCTACCCCATCCTTTCCAGGAGCATGCTTCCAAGGAGCCCAATCACCACCCTCCTCCGCCCTCTCCTGAGCTGCCAGGCCTTGGGTTCTTTCCATTCCCTCCTAATTTTCAAGCTCCCATTCTTCCAGCCTCCCCAGTTCAAACTGGACCCCCGCCTGGCCCGGCTGCTGGGGTTGCACACACAGAGCCGCTCAGCTATTGTCCAGGCTCTGTGGCAGTATGTGAAGACCAATAGGCTGCAGGACTCCCACGACAAGGAATACATCAATGGGGACAAGTATTTCCAGCAGGTAACCTGTCTCCTGAACCCCGGGATCTGGGGAGCAGGCAGAGTCCTCCAGCGGGGCAATACTTCTCTTAAAGTAACCACTACCTCTCCCTTCTAGATTTCTGAATAGCAGAAGCGATACACAGTTGTGTTCTTGGAGCCAAGACACCAACCAGGGTTCTAGACAGGGCCCTACCATGGATTAGCTCTGTGCTGCAGCCAGTCCATTTTAGCCTCCCCAAGTTAGGAAGATCTGGAACCCTACAAAACCAACTGCTTTCTGAAATGTAGTTTTCTTGGGATTTGGAATGAGGATCCCTGGGTTCTAATCCTGGGTCTAGACTTTGGTAAGTTACTTAGCTATTCTAAGCCTTGTTCCTTATCTTTGAAGTGAAGTGATGACACTTGTCCCATCTAATCTCTTGGGCAGTTAGGAAAATCAAATCACTGTGAAAGTGATTTGGCAAAATTCTACCGAAGTACAGAGTATGCTTATTAATGCACTTTTAAATAAACACAGCAGATAAACCTGAGGAGTAAAAATAGCAGTTGATATTTATTGAGCACTTACCACGTGCCAGGCAGCTCCAAGCACTTTATGTGTATTAATCACTGAGTTCTTCCAACAGCACTGTGAGATAAGTGTTATTATCCCCACTTTAGAGATAGAGACACTGAGGCCTTAGGTGTTAAGGAACTTGCTCAAGGCTGTATAGTAAGTGGTGGGAGCAGGAGTGATTTCTAGGCAGGGAGACCCAGGGCCACACCCTCAACCACTGCCCCACACAGACCCCCCTTCCTTGTTGGCTGTGCCGGTGACTCTCTGACCAGCATAGCCTACCCCACTCCTATCCATCATGAGCACTGAGGAATCAAACTTGCTCTCAGCTTCTTACGGGCTCTCCAGAATGAAAGGATCTAGAACTGTAATTATGCTTTCAAGCACAGAAGAGTGACTTCTCTCTCCCCAAATGTCCTGCTCCAGATTTTTGACTGCCCCCGGCTGAAGTTTTCTGAGATTCCCCAGCGCCTCACAGCCCTGCTATTGCCCCCTGATCCAATTGTCATCAACCATGTCATCAGGTGAGGTGGCCCCAGCTTGCTCCTAAAGACGAGGGAATACCCTCATTCTTGCCTTCCCTGCCCTCCTCCCACTCCCATCTTCCCTCCCTCCCTGTTGGATGTGCCCCAGCCCTGGGGCCCTTGGCCCCTGTGCAGGCATCATGGGCACCAAGGGCTGGACTTCCCTGGCAGCGTGGATCCATCAGACCAGAAGAAGACAGCGTGCTACGACATTGACGTGGAGGTGGAGGAGCCACTAAAGGGGCAGATGAGCAGCTTCCTCCTGTCCACGGCCAACCAGCAGGAGATCAGTGCTCTGGACAGTAAGGTGGGGCCCAAGCCCAGAGCTGGAGTGGGACATTCGCCCAGAGATGACAGAGCAGACTTAGAAGAGACCACAATGTGGGCCTATGGGAGATAAGGGGACACAGGGCCCTCCCGTGCTGCTTGGAGTTGAACCTCATTCCAAGTTTAGTTCTGCCCATCCCCCTCCCTTGGGACTTTAGAGGAAGCCAGGGCTCTGAGGGACTGCCCCTCACAGGAGAAGAAATCCTCTCCTCCCTCCACTTCCCACCCTTTTCCTTTTCCCTCCTCTCCCACATCACAAGCCAGGTGGAAAGCAACTATCTTTCTACCTGTAGATCCATGAGACGATTGAGTCCATAAACCAGCTCAAGATCCAGAGGGACTTCATGCTAAGCTTCTCCAGAGACCCCAAAGGCTATGTCCAAGACCTGCTCCGCTCCCAGAGCCGGGACCTCAAGGTGAAGAGGGAGACTCAGGGAGCACTGGAGTGGAAGACAAGCACATGGGGAAAGAGAGTAAACGTCGTACAGGTTGGGTACTCAGGGTTCAGGCTGACCCCATGCTCCCTCCCAGGTGATGACAGATGTAGCCGGCAACCCTGAGGAGGAGCGCCGGGCTGAGTTCTACCACCAGCCCTGGTCCCAGGAGGCCGTCAGTCGCTACTTCTACTGCAAGGTATGAGGGCATCCTTGCCCTTGAGGCTTCCCCTTTCTCCACTCCAAGAGAAACCCCTCCCTTCTCAGCTTGTGGGTGGCCCTTACCATTCCCCACAGTGACACTTCACCACACCACCTCACCATGCAGTGAACCTCCCTGCTCCCGGATACTCTTCTAGGGTAGGGGGGGTGTCCGTAGGTGGGGTTGTCCTGATCACTCACCGGGAACACTGTAACCTGCTTCTGCTCTCACTTCCTCTAAAGATCCAGCAGCGCAGGCAGGAGTTGGAGCAGTCACTGGTTGTGCGCAACACCTAGGCGCCTGTGAATGAGCAGCACTACGAACCTTCCGGCTGCACCCTGTTCCCCCAGTGCTCTGCCCTGGGCTCTGGCTTCACTCCTCTGCCACCTTGGATGGGGATGGGGGAGCTGGATTAAAGGTCATTCATCTGACAGCAGTCATGTGGTCATTGGAAACTGGGGAGGGAAGGAAGGAGGGGGAAGGCAGGAACGCAGTGGGTGCCTTTGGACGAACTTCCCATGTCCCCCAAATTCTTCTTCTTACTCCATTTTCCCTAGACCTAAAATCAGTTTGTCAGAAGACATTTTTAATAACATTTTCTTATTAAAAAAATACAGTGACAAGTCCTCCATCTATCCATCATCTTGCCTTGCCCTTCCTGGGGCTAAGACAGACAAAGGGAAATGTAAGGTCAAAGCCCTGGAAGGGGGGTGCTAAGTGCTGTTGGCCTGCTCCTGCTCAAACAGAGCCATGGCTAGCTGGGCACGGCCCCCCAGGCCCTCCAGGTTGCTGAGGCGGCAGCGATGGTAGAGTTCCTCGCTGAGCCGTGGACTGCAGTCCCTCAGGGAGAACTTCTGCACCAGCCCTGGCTCTACGGCCCGAAAGAGGTGGAGCCCTGAGAACCGGAGGAAAACATCCATCACCTCCAGCCCCTCCAGGGCTTCCTCCTCTTCCTGGCCTGCCAGTTCACCAGCCAGCCGGGCCCGAGCCGCCAGGTAGTCAGCGTTGTAGAAGCAGCCCTCTGCAGAAGCCTGCCGGTCAAATCTGCCCCCTACGGGAGCCCCCCGGGAAGGGTCAGCACCAGGAGGGGATGGGGGATCAGGGCCAGCCCCTGGGGGTCCTGGGGGTGATCTTTGTGGTGACAAGGCGGGGTTGAACTCCTGGAAATGGACTGGAAAGAAGGCCTGCCAGCCAGAAATGGCATTCATGCGGCACCGGTTGAGGACTTCAGGTCCAGGCCTTGTCCATACGGTGGTGAGGAAGAAGAGAGTGTCCACGGGGTGCTTCTTAGAGACCACATCCATGAGTCGCACCTGGGAAGGGGCCTCTGCTCGCACAGCGAGCCAGGCCAGCCTTGTCCCAGGATACCGTCGCTCTAACTCAGCTACTGCAGCCTTCACCCCAAGAAATGGGTCTGGGGCCCCACGGCCCCCTTCTCGTGGCCCATAGACCAGCAGCAGAGTGAGCAACGCATGTTCTCGTGGCTCTAGGACATTGGCTGCAAAGGCTTCAAGGAAAGCCGGAGCTGCAGCAGCTTCAGGCACCAGGAGTGGCAGCACCAGCTGCACTCGGGTGGCCTCAGTGACATAGGGCATAGGTAGGATTTCCACCCGGCTTAGTGGCCGCAGCAGGCTGACCCTGCGGGCCAGGGCCCGCCGGTGCCCACGCTGAGTCACACATTCCAACAGCAGGTCCAGGGTGTACTCCATGCCCCGTGCCGGATCAAAGCGCCGGTAGCCGTTGAGCAGCCGCTGCTTCTGGAAGCGCAGGCGGGGCTGATAGCGCCGATTGAGCTGCTCCAAGGCAGTCTCCACAGCATCGCCCACGTCTGCCCTGCTAGCCCCCTGCAGTGGGCACTTGGGAGCCCCATCTGCACAGGAGAAGGTATGCTGCTCTGTGAAGTAGTCCCAGCCCAGCACCTCAAAGCGAGAGTGTGGTATGAAAGGGGCCGGGAGCCCAATGGGCCAGCTTAGCCCTGCCTCCCCCTCGGGAGTCAGCACCGTCAGGTTCCGGATCTGAGCCTAGGTTGAAGGGAATGCACCTAATGTTAGTGCCAGCTCTAAGACCCTACCCAGTTCCGGCTGCCTGGGCCCTGAGATTCAAATGGCTGAGCTCTGTCCTAACTCCATCAACACTCAGTGAGGGGCCCCTTGGCTAATCATCGAATCCCCTGTATGTTCTATTCTTCACCTATAAAATGCAAAAGAAATACTAATCATACCCACCTTACAAAATTGCTGGGAGGAGGAGGTAGAAAATGTGCTTCTGCACAGGCAAAAGTATTTTGAAATATAAATATGACAACCTTTCTCTCCCATACTCAAAGGACTCACATCTTCTTCATAATCGGGCCCTGTTTCATCTATGCTCCACCTTTGACAATCCCCACATTCAACTAGAGAATTCTTCTACCTTCCACCCATGGGTTCTCTTGGGACAGTTTCAGACGTTCAGGAACTTCTGGGTTTTTGCCTCCTCAGTGGACAGGCAGTACTGAAGAGGAGCTAAAGCTATTCTGTCCAAATGCTGTACAGAGCTGTCTGATCCTCAGAGTTCACCTGCAAGCCCTCTTAACTGCATTAAAGTAGTTCTGAGAATTTACCTTATAAGTGCCCCTTGTCCTTGCAGTTGTTTTAAATTTAAGTATAAGGCTGGGCGCGGTGGCTCAAACCTATAATCCCAGCACTGTGGGAGGCCGAGGCAAGAGGACTGCCTGAGCTCAGGGGTTGGAGACCAGTCTGGGTAACTTGGTGAGACCTCATCTCTACAATAAATAAAAAAATAAGTTGGGCGTGGTAGCACGTGCCTGTAGCTCCAGCTACTTGGAAGGCTGAGGCAGAAGGATTGCCTGAGCCCAGGAGGTTGAGGATACGGTGGCTGTGAGTGTGCCACTGCACTCCAGCCTGGGCAACAGAGTGAGACTCTGACTCACAAAACAAAAAAAAAATTTTAAGTATAATCAGCTTCTTTCTACCCTGCCATTATACAGGGTTAGCCCACCACCCCAACTTAGCTGCCTACTAACTATATGCTTGGGTATCTCAGGCTTCCTCTGACCGCGGACCTCTGCCCACCTATTCCTCTTCGGCTCACCTGCAGTTGCTCTATTTCACTGTAAGCCCGCTCCAACTCCAGAGCACTGAAGCGTTTGTGGAGCTGGTACATGAGGGTACCCTCGGAGACAGGGTGCACGGCGAAGGCACTCAGGAAAGCTGGGCTCCCCTCCTTCTCTGGGTCCCTATTTTTGGCCAGTTCGAATGAGCGATACTGCTGCCCCTAGAAGGACCAATCAGACCAATCAATGCCACACACAAGAGTTGTCTGTCCCAAACCGCCCTTAACCACACTCAGCGTTCCCACTTGTTACCACTGCTTTGTTAGAAGGGAGGACAGAGGCACTCTTTCTAGTGACTCCCTTAACCTCAGTCCTTACTTCACGGCCGCGTTTTAGAAAGAAGGCAAGTAGACAACTAAGGATCCCCTTCTCCCGCAAAGAATCCCACTGTTCTTCAAAGGAATGAAAGCCACAAGCCAGAAAGTTCTCCCAATACTCTGGTTTGGGAGGACAGGCTGCCTCTGGGAGTCTGCTTTTCTCCAAGGCAACAGGGTGGCTCAAAAAGGAGGAGGACTGGTGAGTAGGGGCACCCTCTGTCTTGCTCAGGGGTCCATGACAAGTTGTTACTCTTGATAGCCCCAGGGTTCTAAGATTGCCAAAGGTGAGCAAGGCAGTCCCAGTGGCTGGGAAGGGCAAAGGAGGGTTTCCAAGGAGCTAGCAGCACCCAGCCTGGAAGTCAATTATTCAACCCCCACTAATTTGTCAGGTACTGGGATTGACTTGAAAAGGCTGTCACCTGATGCTGTGAGACACAGCCAATGCCCAGAGAGTCGATGAGGCAGCGTCCAAGCCACTCGTCAGGACGGGCACTGAGAATGTCTCCCCGGCAGCCATCCAGATGTGGCCGTAAGCGAAGCAGGAGACTCCGAGACAACAGGTAGCCAAAGCCCCCATGACAGTACCGGGCCTGCTCGCCTGCACCAATGAACTCCTCTGCCCGGCCCAAGTACAAGTCTTGGTTGATGCTGAGGTGGCCAGCGAGGGCCGCCAGGCGGGGCGCCTGCACATACGTGTCATCCTGCATGATGAAGAACCAGTCGTAGTCGGCCCCAAAATGTGTGTGAAGGTGTCGCAGGGTCTCTGACATGAGCCAGGCAGGCCGTTCATCCCCATGGGACACCACCTGCATCCCTGCTGGAGCCCGGGCCCCTCGCTGCCCCGTGAAATAGAGTAACCGAGGGAAGTGGTGGGCCACTGTGCGGTTCACAGCCACGGCCAGAGTGGACAGTGTGGCTCGAGAGGTCAGTACAGCCACCAGCAACCGTTCACGGGAGCCCAGCTCTGTCTGGATGTATCGAGTCCTGTGGAGAGACCAGTGTGCCAAGGGTCAACTCTCTCATCTTCAGGAACCCCGCTTGTCCAGCATATACATCCCCTTAGAAAGGAGTGAGTTGTTGAGAAAAGAGAAGGGAGAGACTGCCTTTCTTATCAATATTAATTAGTTACTGGAGTGAGTACACACTGAGTAACTGACACTGGAATTGACTTGGGAGGGGAGGAAGTTCACTAAGGATGGATTACATACATTAGATGCAATCCCTGTTCTGTTCAAGAACACCGAATCCTAATTTAACACCATGGGTGAGCCAGCACGGTGGATCATGCCTGTAATCCCAGCACTTTGGGAGGCAGAGGCAAGAGGATTGCCTGAGCTCAGGGGTTTAAGACTAGCCTGAGCAACATGGCGAGACCTTGTCTCTACAATAAATCAAAAAATTAGCTGGGCATGGAGGCGCATGCCTGTGGTTCCAGCTACTTGAAAGGCTGAGGTGGAAAGATTACCTGAGCCCAGCAGGTAGAGGCTGTGGTGGCCATGAGCATGCCACTGCACATCAGCTGGGCAACAGAGGGAGACTCCAACTTAAAAAAACAAAAACAAAAACAAAAACAGCCACCATGGGTGATACTTTCTTAGATCTGAGAAGGAAGGAAAAAATAGGAAGAAACCATGATGGAAAATATGACAAAGAATTGCTCCAAGGTACCTAATGCTGACTACCAAAGGAAAGGCAGAGGCAAGGACTTACAGCAACCCAAAACAAGGTCTGTGTCTGGGACTCCACACTCATGCATTTCTCACCTGAGCACCTTCTTGTACGGCTTGTTGGGATCCCTGTAGTAGGGGACAATTCGGGGTTTAAAGTCTTCATCACTTTGGTCTAGCCGAGTTCTTGAATCTGGATTCTGTGGCCCTCCTGGCTCTCCCACGACCTCTACACAGGGATCTTCTCCCTCACCCTGGATCCAGGAAACCCGCAAGAGGCTCAGGCTGCATCCCAGAGACAGCCCTAGGATGAGGGGTAGTGCTGGCCGCAGCACAGCCAACAGGGAGCTCAGTCGCATGGCAGTGTGTCCTGCCATGTGGGTGGCCCAGGGGGCACAGCCTCAAGGATCAATGGGTTGATGGGTGCTGGGCCAACTGTAGGCCTACAATTTTAACCAGGAAGCCTGGGGTCAAGGAGGTCAACAACAGAGCAAGGTGCGTTGGCTTCCAGGCCCAGCATCACCAGGAAGACTGTCCTCTCTTCACAAGTCCATCCACCTGGTCTTCACAAAGTGCTGGATCTAAACCTCAGCCCACACGATGATAAACATGAGAATCACTTTCACTCACAATGAGATCATGGTCTGTCTTCCAGTAGAAAGGGGAGGAGACAAAACTCAATACTGTCAAACCTACACATCTGTAGACTTGCACCTAAATCAAGAGATGGTAGCAACTGATAAAGAATGGGTTAGGGAAAAGCACATGATCCATCAGAACAACAGCCACCAACCAAAGGAGTCTGCCTTTCCTTAGTAATGCCTAGTTCTGGCATCATTCTTCATTCAAGCTACTGAAGGGTTGCTGGCCGGCTGGCCAACCGGCACAAAGGAAGGGGCCAGAGGCTCTTTTTACTCTGCCCGCAGTGTCAAGGAAACACAATGGCTACAGTAACCCCTCCTCCTACTCAGGAGTGAACAGGAGCCACCGACAGGGTACGCACAAGTTCTGCCCACCCAAATGAGGCACACAGATAGGTGACTCAGCACTGACAGCCTCTCAGAGGGGCGCCATGGCTGATGGAGCCATCTTGCAGAGCAATTGCAGGGCTGAGTCTGCAGGAAAATTACAGGAACCCTTGCTGTGGGACACCAATTTGGTGTCTGGCTTTACCAGGGCCCCAGGGACCCAATGAAACAAACCAAAAGCAAACAGGCAGGACAAGCAGCAGTTAGCGACAACGCAGGGGCTCCAAGAAGGCAAACCGAAGCGCGGCTGGGGAGGCGCCCTGAGCTACCTCTCAGCGAGCAAAGACCAAGCCTAGCCCTGGAAATAAGGCCCCACACGAGTCCTGCCGTCTGTTTCAAAACAAACAAATCGGCTACGTCACGGGGCTGCAGAGCGGGGGCGGGGGTCCAGCTTGGCTGGTTCTGCGGGGCCGGCGGCGGCGGGTAGACCGGAGCTCGCGGCTGGGAGAGGGGGCGAGACGCTGTCCTCAGGCCCGCGGGCAGGGGAAAGGCCGCGCCAGGGACTGCACCGAGGTAGCGAGCGCGGGACCAGAAGGGACGCCCGAGCCCCTCCAGGAGGACCCCGGGAGCAGTGCTGGGGGCCGGGGGAGGCCGGATGAAGGCGGTCGGGGTCCCCGGGTCCGAGGTGGGAGTGGCACCCCGCGCGCGCCTCGCAGGGAGCAGGGACCGGGAAGGGGGGACAGACCCCAGTGCCCGCCGAGGCGCCGGCTCCGCCGCTGCAGCAGCTGCCACCTCACAGCCCCGGCCCGCGGCTTCCTCTTCCGCTCCTGTCAGTCACCCGTCTCTATGGTGACCGCATCCGGCCGCTCGCTCCGCCCGCGGCCTCTCTATGGTCGCACCCGCCTGGTGGGGGGGATGTGGGCGGCCTTGCCCCAACAGCCCGTCCCCTAATTCGAAGCGTGCATCCTACAGATACTATTCCGAGGGGATCCTACTCCTGGTTAAAGGTGCCCCGTAGCTTCAGGGCAACCCCAAATGCTCTGGAAAACACACACCTTCACCCTCAACGAACAGCACGCTTCTTCACCCAGTCGGCTTGGGAACCCCATCATCCATCCGTTCTGTCACTTAAGAAATGTTTGTTGCCGGGCGCGGTGGCTCACGCCTGTAACCCAGCGCTTTGGGAGGCTGAGGTGAGTGGATTGCCTGAATCCGCGGGTTCAAGACCCTCCTGGGCAACTTGGCGAGACTTCATCTCTACAATAAAACAAAAAATTAGCCAGGCGTGGTAGCGCGCGCCTGTAGTTCCAGCTACTTGGAAGGCTGAGGCGGAAGGATCGCTGGAGCCCAGCAGGTCGAGGCTGTGGTGGCCGGGAGCGGCCACTGCACTCCAGTCTGGGCGACAGAGTGAGACTCCAACTCAAAAAAAAAAAAAATGCCAGGCATTGGTAGTGTAATTCCAACGACTTGGAAGGATCGCCTGAGCCCAGCAGGTCCAGGTTGCAGTGGCCATGAGCATGCCACTGCACTCTAGCCTGGATGACAGTGAAACGCCAACTCAAAAAAAAAATAGAAAAGAAAAGAAAAAGAAATGTTTATTGTTTGCCAGGTCTGTAACTTCTAAAGAGGTAAGTTCCAGACATCTTCACAAGCACTAGGTAAACAAGTGCATGAGGTAAACAAGTTCGGCCACCAGCACTTTGGGAGGCAGAGGTGAGAGGATTGCCTGAGCACACAGGTTCAAGACCAGCCTCGGCAATTTGGCAAGACCTCATCTCTACAATAAATCAAAAAATTAACTGGGCGTGGCGGCACATCCCTGCAGTTCCAGCTACTTGGAAGGCTGAGAGGGAAGGATTGTGTGAGTCCAGCAGGTCCAGGCTGTGGTGGCTGTGAGCGTGCCACTGCACTTCAACCTGGGCCACAGAGTGAGACTCCAACAACAACAACAACAACAAAACAAGTTGGTGGACCAGATGTGCATGGTCCCTGCTCTCAGGGAGCTGAGCATAGAGAAAGACAGATAAAACACACTGACGTACCAAAAATAAAACCTTGGTAGGAATCACAAACTGTGATACGTTCCATTGCAGAGAAGTGGACAGTCCAGTGGAAAAACCAAACAGGAAGTATTAAATTAGATTGGGAGGCCGGGTGCAGTGGCTCAAACCTGTGTTCCCAATACTTTGGGAGGCTGAGGCAACAGAGTGAGACTCCAACTCAAAAAATAAAAATAGAATTAGATTGGGGATTTAGGAATTCTGAGACCCAAAAGTTCAGTAAGACGTATACAGACAAGAAGTGGACAGTTTTTCAGGCAAAGAAAAGAACAAATGAAGGTCCTGAGATAGGAAAGAGAATGCCCTAGAGAAAAATTGGGAAGGCCAGGGCATCTAGAGACTGGTGAGGAACAATACCCAAGATGGGATGGGGGCAGGGAGGGCCTTCAGACCATCACAGTGAGTGCCCAATCAGGTTGCCACCACCTCTAGGGAGCAATCTGAAAATGTGCAGGGGCAACTTTGTTGTCAAATGATTGGGGGAGGGGGACCAAGGATGCCCTGCATCTTGTTTTCTTTTTTTTTTTGAGTTGGAGTCTCACTCTGTCGCCCAGACTGGAGTGCAGTGGCCGCTCCCGGCCACCGCAGCCTCGACCTGCTGGGCTCCGGCGATCCTTCCGCCTCAGCCTTCCGAGTAGCCAGAATTACAGGCATGCGCTACCATGCCCGGCTGATTTTTTTATTTATTGTAGAGATGAGGTCTCACTGCCCAGGCAGGTCTCGAACCCGCGGGCTCAGGCAATCCACTCACCTCAGCCTCCCAAAGGCGCGGGATTACAAGCTGAGCCATCGAGCCCGGCTGCCCTGCATCTTGTACTCAAGAAAACTGTCAACTGTCCAGATCCCACACAGCTTTCAAGTGCACAACATGAAAAAAACTGGTTATAATCTACTGATCCTTGTGCCTGTGTTTTATGCATTAGAAAAAGAAAAAAAAGAGCAATGTTGCAGAATTATAAAATGTGTTGAATTTTTGAGTAATGTAACTACTAACATGCATAGCCAACTGGGAAGGTATGGCCGGAATGGGGCGGGGGGGGGCAAGAATATTCACCAAGAAGACAGTTACAAACTTGAAAAAATAGATTTGGCAGGAAGGCTAAACCTGTAATCCCAGCACTTTGGGAGGCGGAGGAGAGTGGATTGCCTGAGCCTGCAGATTTCAGACCAGCCCGGGCCTCATCTCTACGGTGCTCAGGAGTGTGCCACTGCCCTCCAGCCTGGGTGGTAGAGTGAAACTCCAACTCAAAAAAAAAAATTAGCCAGGCATGGTAGCGCACATCTGTAGTTCACACTACTTGGAAGGGTGAGGCAGAAGGATTGCCAGAGGCCAGCAAGTTGACGCTGATGCGGCTGTGAGCATGACACTGCACTCCATCCTGAACAAGACACCAACTCAAAAAAAAGAAAAGGAAGAAAAAGTAGACTTATGGCTGGGCTCGGTGGCTCAGCCTGTAATCCCGCGCCTTTGGGAGGCTGAGGTGAGTGAATTGCCTGAGCCCACGGGTTCGAGATCCGCCTGGGCAGCAAGACCTCATCTCTACAATAAAGCAAAAAATCAGCCGGGTGTGGTAGCGCATGCCTGTAATTCTGGCTACTCGGAAGGCTGAGGCAGAAGGATTGCCGGAGCCCAGCAGGTCGAGGCTGCAGTGGCCGGGAGCAGCCACTGCACTCAAGTCTGGACAACAGAGTAAGACTCCAACTCAAAAAAAACAAAGACACAAGGAGCAGGCTGCAGACTGAGGTTCTTCCCAGTGAAATTTGACACTCTTCGGTCAGGGTGAGTTTTAGGATTCCCATCAAGCATTTGGGTTCCTCCCATGCAAATGAGGTAGTTTGATTGGTTGATGTTTGATTTTGATTGTAAACTGTTTATGGGCCAAACGGAAACTATTCAGCCTTTACAATTCTTGCAACCTCATTCTGAGATTTCCTTCCTCAAAATAGTTTACCCGATTTACCCAATTGATGCTGGTCTGATGGGACCTCATTTTCCCCCACAACTGCCATGTAAATGGAAGGAAGATTGTACTTTGTTGTGTTCAGGAATTTACTAGAAGTTATTCGCCAGTTTGGAGAACTATATAATTAACAGTCATGTCATTCATGACCTGGGCGCAGTGGCTCACCCCTGTAATCCCAGCACCTTGGGAGGTGGAGGCGAGAGACTTGCCTGAGTCCACAGGTTCGAGACCAACCTGGACAACATGATGAGACCTTGTCTCTACAGTAAATTAAAAAATTAGCTCACACAACCTCCCAAGGTTGAAACAAGAAGAAATTCAGATTAAAAAAAAAAAAACTGGGCATGGTGGCACGCTCCTGTAGTTCCAACTGCTTGGAAGACTGAGGCGGAAGGGTCCTCTGAGTGCACTCCAACCTTGGCAACAGAGTAAACTCCGACTCAAAAAAAAAAGGAAAATCATTCAGGATGTTCAGTTTTCATTTGTACTGTCACATTTAAGGTGATCCTACATATAGGTACAAGCATCTAATTGTTCTCTAGCATGCTGAAATAAAAGGGGATTTTGGGGTTGGGGGGAGGTTTGGGTCAGAGTCTCACTCTATCACCTAAGCTGAAGTGCAGTGGCACGCTCACAGCTACTGCAACTTCTACCTGATGGGCTCAAGAGATCCTTCCGCTTCAGCCCTCCAAGTAGCTGGAACTACAGGCAAGTTCCACCATGCTGGGCTAATTTTTTGATTTATTGTAGAGACGAGGTCTCACCAAGTTGCCGAGGCTAGTCTTGAATCCCTGGGCTCTTACCTCAGTTTCCCAAAGTATTGAGATTAAGGCATGAGCCACTGGGCTCAGCTGCTTCAGTCTTTCAAGTAGCTGGAATTACAGGTGTGTGCCACCTCGCCCAGCAATTTTTTTTTTTAATTGTAGAGATAAGGTCTCACTATGTTACCCGTGCTGGTCTCGAACCCATGGGTTCAGGCAATTCTCTTACCTCCTTCTCCCAAAGTGCTGGGATTACAGGCATGGGCCACCACGCAGGCCAGGATTATTTTAAAGGATTTCCTGGCCAAGTGTGGTGGCTCATGCCTATAATCCCAAGCATTTGGGGAGGTTGAGGCGGGTAGACGGCTTGAGCCCTGGGCAACATAGTGAAACCTCATCTCTGCAAAAATAAAAACTAAAAATAAATTAGCCAGGCATGGTGGTAGGTGCCTATAGTCCCAGCTACTCAAGATGCTGGGGTGGAAGGACTGCCTGAGCCTAGGAGGTTGAGGCTGCTGTGAATCATGGTTGTTGTGAATGTGCCACTGTACTCCCGTCTAAGCAAGAGTGAAAAAAAAAAAAAAAAGAAAAAGGATTTTCTTGTATTTATTTTCTGTTATGGTTCAGACACTATCATTTTTTGAAATTATGTGTGTAGTTAGGTTATATCAACTATGAAGTTCACTTCAGAATAGCAAAGTGAGGCCAGGGGCAGTGGCTCATGCCTGTAATCCCAGCACTTTGGGTGACCGAGGCAAGAGGATTGCCTGAGCCCACAGGTTCCAAACCAGCCTGGGCAATAGGGTGAGACCTCATCTCCACAATAAATCAAAAAGTTAACCAGGTGTGGTGGTGCACTCCTGTAGTTCCAGCTACTTGGAAGGCTGAAGTGGAAGGATCTCCCGAGTCCAGCAGGTTTAGGCTGGGGTGGCCGTGAGCATACTACTGTACTCCAGCCTGGGCAACAGAGTGAGACTCCGACTCAAAAAGAAAAATAATAATAATAAAGTGGGCAGCAGACAGCCAACA